CAAATGTATTACTTTAAAATTTCAGCAAAAATGTGGAACATGTAATTATTTACAATTATCAGTTGGGTTTATACAAACTAAGACAGATGCAAAGGAAATTATTTCAGTCCAAGGGAGTCAAACATATTTAATACTTATAGAAAGTTACTGACCATTAACCAGACTAGTGAAAACACTCAGCCTTGTGCAAGAAAACATGCCTGACATGAGTGATTGCAAATAATTTAACTGCATATGTTTCTGGCGACCATTTATTCATTCTAGCCCCAGAGACCATGACAAATTCATTAACTCATGATAGAAACAAAAATAAAACCAACAACTGACTTCCTCGTTATACTTTCATCTCATTATAATAAAAGTTGGCTTTATTAGCATCTAATAAATTGTTATCCTGAAGTCTTAATTTAGAACAGTAAAAAAGTCACGCATATTCTGAGAGTTCAACTAATGACATTCCATGGACATAAATTTAAGTTACTATGAATCCAGAAAATCTCAACAGCAATTAAACTAGATATCTAAATAACTGAATAATGTGCAAGAATAAAAGAAAAGGGGGAAAATACCAAATCCAACAGAGAACCAACAAATTTTAAGTCTCCAACAGCCATGTAACCCAGTGCAATGATGTCCAAAGTTGCAGCTTCTTCTATGCCTTTAGTACCTGCATTCAGCCGCTCTTTCACCACTTCATAATTTGCAGTAAGCAGGTCTACAGCATCATTTTTGTTTCCCATCTTAATCATTCGTTTCACTTCATCAAATAATTCTTCCAATTCCCTCTCTAAACTGCCGATTCTGTGGAATATGTAATTTGCAAAGCCAAGGGACATTGTCAATTGGAGAACGAGCAATTTAAGTTTATAATGATGGCACAAAGTTGTTTTATCCTTAGAGGATAAAATTCTGACACAGTGGCCAGAGAATTTAGGCCCAAAAGTGAAATACAGAAATACTTCAATATACAACAAGCATAAGCAGTATAAGAAAGGAAGAAGACAAAATCATTTGAACCAATTCGCACCTCTGATAGTCATTTGGAGCTGAAAATCCTGAATAAGCATCACTATGTGAGCCTGTCCCACCAAATTCCACCGACCCAACTGAGGATCTTGAAACGCAGAACCGAACACAAACAGTCCTAATGGGAATAATATAAAGCTTTTGATTGTACTTTTGCTTGTGATTACAAACTGAGAAGCATGCTATGCTTTTCAACTCACACAGTGACAGCAGATGCGGAAGCTCTTTGCTAGTCCTAGTAATAGATAACACAATACATTAAACCAAGCCACCACGAATTATTATAATCAGATATGTACATTAAAATCAAGAGTATAGTGTATAACAAACAACTAATCAGAAACCATTATCTTCACTCACAGATTTAACATGTATCTTAGCCAAAGACTTACACCTAAATTATTAAAAGAATTCTGAACTCAACTATAAGCACTATCCACTCCTCTCCAACGACCTAGAAAAATAGTTTAAGAAATCGAAGTAACAACGAAAGGAGTGCTATCTCAATAAAGCATATACACCAAATTTGAGCATTCTCCGGAGTCTGAACAAGTAAGGAAATGCGTTTGTCGTTGATAATAATCTCGTGAACAAAACTTGCTTAATTATTGGTAGGTTTTGAGTTAGCGAAGCGCATTAGTTTCAATTAATAAAGTTGATGTTATCATCCTAAGGCATAAGGTAATTTAGTGCAACGAACAAAGAAGTGGCATGGGATGGAAGCAGAGAAAGAGAACCTGAATCCAGTGAAGGAGGGCGAGGGGACAAGAAATGAAGCTTTCATTGTACACATAAACCTCGTCTTCGTCTTCGTCTTAGGATCAAACCTTAGCAATTCGCAAGCTTAGCATACAACAACAATGAGAAACGGATAAAGCGTGGTTTTTATTTTTTGTTATTGTTGTTGTTGTGGGCTAGTTATGGATTTTGGGCCTCTCCTTTCAAGTTGACTTTAGTGATATATTGGACTTATGCTTCGGCCCATCAACATTTTTATGTGCCATATTTTTCGCATTGTCTTAGTTATTTTTTAATTTTTTTGGTTCGGCCCTGGAGTATCCACCGCCGATAGTAGTGATTAATCTTCTCACTAAGTTGGAGGCACCTCAAAGGATGGGATAACTGGTCTCAAGATTTAACGCGGCTGCATACACAAGGTAGGATTCGAACCCCTGACTTTGCTTAGTGTGGATCAACCCCTACCGCTAAATAACACGTTTGGAGTTTAGTTATTTTTTAATAATCATAAAGAAAAAAAAGAGATTATTTTATAATAAAATATTAAGATTTTTTTAATGTTTATTATACACTTCTTTGATTATTTCAAGACTTAATTATTAATCTATCAATGTTATCATTTATAAAAGAGTGATCATTGTCTATAATATTTTTATTTTACACGTTTTAATTAAAATTTAGATGTGCACTTTAAGTATCAATTATTGATTTAAATAAATAATAGTTTAATAATTTTGTCTATATTATAACATTTTCTCCTTCTTACAATGTTAGTATTTTTCTATAACAAACTTGTAAGATCCATTTGTTAAATTCATATGCTAAATAACTTGTTGTACTTATAGCAGTCGATAATTTTTAATATGTAAAAGTTTACTTGTCATTTTATCTAAACATTTACAACTAATAATGTCATTACTTAACCAATCAAAAAGCTTCAAGTCTAATCTCTATGCTTGGTCCATGTATATTTCAACTTAATTTTTTAAATGTTTTTACAAAATATTTTTTCAAAAAACTGGTAAAATGTTTTTTTTTTTCCAAAATAAAAAATATGCATATATTTTATTTTAGTCTGTGCTTATTTTCAAAATTTTCTAATAACATTTAAAATTTGTAAATACTCATCCTACCTCATGAGTAGTAATGGAGGTATATATATTATCGGAAATAAAACAAATTAGAGAAAGTAGACGTAATAGAATGTATAAACGCATTATTTTAACTAGAGAAAAAGAGATACTCCATCTCTCTATGTATTATTTAAAAATAATTTTCTTTCTAAAGAGGAAAAATAAAATAATTGAAGTGGTTTAAAAAATATAATAGGTGAATTGTGGAAGAAAATTAGAGAAGGTTTGTATAAATTGGAAGTAAAATTATCTAAAAAATAATAAATAGCAAAAGATAATATCTCTTTTATTATTGGTATAAATTAAATAACAAAAAATATGCCACAAAACTAATTTCAAGTTAATATCTCCTCCTCCAAAATAAAAAATATTTTTAAATAAGATTATATTTATTATATTCTATAATAGTACATGCAATATTTGTAATTAAAATTTTTCAGCTTTGTTGATTTATTTATTCTATATAAAATAATGTAACTTAATTTACATGTAATATGAAATATCCTATAAATTTCATAACGTTTATAGTTTTAATTGTTCTGTCAATTTGAATTTATGAAATGAAATATCATATAATTTTCAAAATTTAATTTTTTTTTGCAGATTTAATCTATGTATTAAAAAAATTTATTTTAAAAATTAGATTACTCCACTGCACTTCACACTAACCTCAATCTCTTTTTAAAAAAAATTCTATATTCATATTTAAAATTTGTATAAATATATATTAAATTAAAATTAGTAACTAATAAAAAATAATTAACTTTTATATATAAAGCACAAATGATGTTTTTCTTGTGTCATTGCATTTTTAGAGACTTTTCTTTGACTATAAGAATTTTAAATATTTTTTAACTTCGTATCTAATTTAGTTTTTATTTATCACAATTACTTATGAATTAATTTTATTATTTTTAAAATAAATTATTAATAAAAAAATTTATCCACATATATATCCGTCGATAATTACCCACGGATACATCCGTCGGTAATTCCATGTGTATTGTTGATAATATTTTTAAAAAATTATTTCAAAATTGTATTAAATAACAATTTTGTTTAGTGTAACACTCTCATATTTGACCTTTCAACGACTTCACTCCACAACACTTCACACTAACCTTAATTTTTTTTTAAAAAAATCTATATTCATATATTTGGGCCTAAGCCTTTCTAACACCAAAAATAGACCCAATAAGCACCAAAAATAAGGTTGCATGGTCTTATCATGCACCTAGATATAGCCAATCTAAACCCAAAGATTCCATCCTTGGCCACCAAGTTGCATCTAGGGTTCATTTGCATTTTCATTTGGAATGCATTTGCCTACTCCAAATGCAACCCTAGATGCCTCCCCTCCTATAAATACCCAACACCCCACACCTTGTAAATACTTTGGAATTCATCGTCATTGTGTAGAACATACAATTGTGCTTGCTCCCAATCTTTCCTTGATATGGTCAATATTGTATTTCCAATAATACCTTCTCCTTCAATTCTCCCATTGTGTCGAGACTTTGGAAGCCCTATTGATTCAGCATTAGAGAGGTAATCAGTACAAAATTCAACAGCTTCTTCAAGTATGTATCGTTCCACAATACAACCCTCTGGTCGACTTCGATTTTTCACATACCCCTTTAATATCTTCATATAACGCTCCATTGGATACATCCATCTCATATAAGCTGGCCCACAATATTGTGTCTCTTTAACTAGGTGAATGGTAAGATGAACCATTATGTCAAAGAAAGAAGGTGCAAAATACATCTCAAGCTCACACAAAGTTAAAATAATTTCTCTTTCTAATGCTTGCAATTTTCCAGGGTCAATCACTTTGCTACAAATGGCTCTAAAGAAGTAACACAATTTAGTTATGGTCCATCGCACTTTTTTAGGCAAAATGGAGCGTATACCTATTGGTAGTAAATGCTCCATGAGAACATGACAATCATGAGACTTTAACCCTTTTAGCTTTAAATCCCTCATAGATACCAGGTTCCTAATGTTTGAAGAATACCCCTCTGGAACTTTAACTCCTTCTAGAAACTTACAAAATATAATTTTCTCCTTTCTAGATAGAGTAAAAGCTGCTGGAGGTAGATATTAGAGTTTACCTTTCTTTATTGGTCCTAATTCTATTCTAATTCCCATATTGAGTAAGTCTAACCTGGAATTGATGCCATCCTTAGACTTTCCTGGCACATTCAGTAGTGTACCAATCACACTATCACAAACATTTTTTTCAATATGCATCACATCAAGGAAATGTCTTACATATAAGGACTTCCAATATGGCAAATAAAAAAAAATTGACCTTTTCTTCCATCCACTAGTTACTAGATTTGCCGCAAAAGGTTTACCAAATTTATTGGTTATATCCTTAACCTTTTCAAAAACTTTATCACCATACAACAATTCAGGGGCTCTACCTTCTTCTAATCTCCCATTAAACGCTTTTCTCCACCCTCGATAACGATGTTTTGAAGGTAAAAATCTACGGTGGCCAAGAAATACATTTTTCTTACCATGCTCTAGCCACATCCAATTTGTATTACTCCCACATATAGGGCATGGACACTTTCCTTTGATACTATATCCTGATAAATTACCGTATGCTGGAAAATCATTAATAGTTCCAAACAACATTGCCCTTAGTTTAAAATTTTCTTCCTTATACCCATCATACACCTCTACACCTTCATTCCACATATACTTTAAGTCTTCGATCAAAGGAGCCAAGTATATATCTATGTCGTTCCCTGGTTGTTTAGGTCCAGAAATTAACATAGACAACATCATGAACTTCCTTTTCATGCATAACCATGGGGGTAGGTTATATATAATCATAACAACAGGCCATGTGCTATGGGAGTTACTTTGTATACCATGCGGATTTATTCCATCAGTAGACAATGCAAGGCGTAGGTTTCTTGGTTCTTCACCAAAATTAGGGTAATCATGGTCAAATTTTGCCCATTGAGGAGAATCTGCAGGATGTCGAAGTTTTCCATCATATATTCTTTCCTCTACATGTCATCTTAAGTTCTTTGGATCTTCTACACTACGATACATGCGCCTGAATCTTGGTATTATAGGAAAGTACCATACCACTTTGGCTGCCACTTTGTTTTTCTTATAACGCAAGACATTACATTTAGGAAATTTATCTAGTGATGCGTATTCATTTCGAAAAAGAATGCAATCATTAGGACAAGCATGCATCTTCTCATAGGTCATGCCAATGGAGCTTAACATTTTTTTAGCCTCGTACATCCGATTAGGAAGTACATTATCTTTTGGCAACATATCTTTTAAAAGGGTGAGTAATTCTGTGAAACTCTTATAAGACCATCCATTCCCTGCTTTTAATTTGAGTAGCTTTAACACTGCTGACAGTCTTGTGAACTTAGTACAACCATCATATAATGGTGTATTTGCATCACTTGCCAATCTGTCAAACATCTCAGGACAATCACGAAGATCCTCTTCAACAACATTTACAATCTCTTCAACTTGGTCAAACTCATATGTTGTGTCGGGCTCGCTTGGTGCATAATTAACACTATCTTGTAAATCATGGTCAACATCCATGTTTCTAGTTTCACCATGTTTTGTCCAACATGAATAACTTTTATCAATTCCATTACATACTAAATGTTCTTCCAACACATCCGCATTAACCACCTTTGAATGACAACACTTCAAGCAAGGGCAAATAATTCTACTAGGATCTTTTGCATGCTCAACTGCAAATCTACGAAACTCTTTCACCCCATCTTCATATTCTTTTGACAATCGACTAACAAACATCCATTTTCGATCCATTTTTTCTTGATCTATCATATTAGTCATTGATAATATTAACATCAAGGTTAAACTACTGAACGTGCATTACACCTTTTAAAATACTAATACATAAAAATATAATAAGTAAACAATATTTTGATGAAAATAATGATTTAAATATACTTTTAGTGTTTGTAATAAGTTGCATTTTTGGTCACCTATAATATTATATTCACAATTTGTACCCCTCTATTTTTAATTATGTAATTTTAATCTCTCAACTTTATAAAATCTATTTTGATCCTTTCATTAAATACTCATCTATAGATTGTGACACTTATGTTTAGTAGAGAGAGAGAGAGAGAAAGAGTTAGTGTGAATGATCTCTTTCTTTTCTCCCCTTTTCCTCCTTGGTTGAGGCCTTCTCCTCCTCCCTTGTGCAGTTGACTGGAGTAGTTGAGAGGTTTTGAGTCGCGATGTTGCTAGTTGGGCTTGAAACTATATGGAGTGTGCGGAGCATCCCTTTCTTCCCTTTCTCTGGTTGTTTTTGATTCTACAAGAGGTAAGGGAAGCTTGTGATTTGAATGATCCGTGTTGTATGTGGTCTGATGTTGTCTAGAATTACCTAAGTGCTTAATTATGATGAAGATAGATGAAATGTGGCTTGTTGAGTTTGTAGCACTTAAAGTGGTGTATGAGTGGGATTGTTGAAAATATGTGAGTTGATATGATGTTATGTTGTTGTGTACTTCAGATGAAATGATGTTTAAGTTGTAACGATGTACAATGTTAAGTTGTTAAGCTATACAATTATTAGGCATGTGGTTGTGATACATTTCTATGTTCAGATACATAGAAACTAGATAAAAGTTAAAGATGTTTTAGAACTTTAATATCCCATTGTGTGAATATATGCTATGTTGAACCCTTTAGTAAGTAAGTTGGATTCTAAATAGGTACGTTATTTTTAGTTGTCTCCTTTAGGTTCTATGTGATATTTGTATGTGGACAAGGTCAAGACATATGTGTATTAAGTGACCAACTGAGTAAAGCACGAAGTTGAGAGTTAAAATCCCTAACCTAGTATCAGAGGGTTGTGGTATTTAGAGGGTAGTTGATGGATTGATCCCACAGGTGACTTAGTTAAGCTAGTTAATGTCGTGGTGGACTCATACCCAAACTCTTCTACCTTCACGTAGTACCATACTTTCTAGTTTAAGTGACAAAACTTGAGAAATCAATCTAGCTTATGCTAGCCATTATTTTTAGCCTTGTGCTAGTTGCTATTTCTAGCCTTAGTGTTAGTTGATGTTTTTGACCATAGTGTCAACTACTATTTCTGGTTTTTACAACTGCTATTTTTGGTTTTATAATAGCTGTTGTGATTCAATATGGTCAAATCACTTAAACTGTTCACCTCAATTGTAGGAGATCTCTATAGTTGATATGTGTGATGACACATCAATTGTATTTAAATATATGTAGATTATGTCATTCTATTGAAGGTGAATGATAATCAAATGAATGTTTGTGTTGTTCTATGTTGTTTGTGATGTATTGATGATGTAAATGTACATCCTGTCTAGTAATATGTATATGTGCATACTAAAAATGGCTAAGTTGAAGGTGTAAAGATGTAGAAGTTGTTATCTGATGAAAGTTGTGAGTATGATGTTGTTTAATAATTATGTGTTGTGCTATATCTATAATGAAGTTTCCTAATCGTACACATTGTTTAAGTACCTTAAGTTGTATGACGAGATCTGATATGATGATATGAATGATGTTCATTTTAAGTTATTTATGTTGCATGTTGTTGTATGACATTGCTTTTGTATCACAAGTTTACCTTGTGTTTTCCCTTGTGGTTTGGAACTGCTATGATTATACTTGATATGAGAGCAAGACAAGATTAATAGGTCGAGTGATCTTGTTTCGTGGTAAGTCACGCTAGAGGTAGCTCTCTTTTGGATATTGCTACCTTGAGATAGCTAGGTCTTGTATAGAGGCTTGACCAATGACTAGGTTTATCTTGTATATAGTAGTTACTTCTTTTGTATTAGGTATGTATATATGTTCAGGAATAGTCATTTTATTTCTTACATATATGACTATTTGCATGAGATTTACCTACTTATTGCATGATATCCTAGGTTGATGTTTGATGCTAGTGCTTCCACTTAGTTGTTAGATTGTAGTAAGTATAGTGACCAGATGAGTCGTTACACTACTTACTAATAACAGCTCCTTTATCCTAGCCCTGATCTACTTCCATACAATGTATGATCCTCACAATCCAAACCAATTTAAACCACCATGAAAATAACAGGGTAAGTTAGAGTTCAAAAACATGAACATATAGAAAACAATTATATAACATACAATGTTACACCACAACTATACATGAAAGTTATTACACTCCAAGCAAACATGTATATCATTCAAGCCATATCACATAATACATCAACAATGCATATGAACACACCTCTACACACAACATATGCAAACATGTCAACTAATGCGTCATCACGCATTTAGCTATTGAGATCTCCTTATAAATGAGCAGTCTAAGTGACTTCATCCCACTGATCTAACCCAATCGTTATCCGATCTTGTCACTTACACTAGAAAAGTTTGATTCCACTGTTAGAAGTGGTACAAATAGGTATAGACGTATCATGACCTTGACTTGCATTACCAAGTCACATGTGAAGTTAGCCTACTAACCATCCTCAAGGAACCATGCAATCTTTTCAGGTACTTGGTTAAGGGTTGTAGCTCCTGACCTCTTACATTACTTAACCACTAACTAAGAGCCTAGAAGAGACTCAACACACCTTAGAAACCCATTCCAAGAGAAACAAATACTCAATAAGGGTTTTTCAATAATGGTCTACCCAAGCACCACTCCAAGATTCCCTATGTGGGATCTACAATTTTCAAGAAAAAATTCTCTCTTCATATCCTAAGTTAGCCAACATGTTTTAATACTATATCGCATTTTCAACATGTAAATCTCATCATACATTTACTATATACACCATATCCAATCAATGCATATAAAGATCAACAACAACTTCATAAACATGGCATATCAATGCTCTCCAAAATCATACATCATACAAATGTACAATAGACATATAATCACCATCATTCAACACCATACAAAACATCTACAATGTTATCTCTAATCAACATATGCAAAACATTTATCATATGTCATACAACATGTGATAGAACTTAAAAAATCTATTAATGTTCATCATACAACATCACCAAAACACACCAAACATCCAAGCATCACGTGCTCAACACAACTTATCTCACACTCGAGGCCATTAAGGCAAGGAGCTCCATGCTTCGCCCATGCTCAATGCTATCCAAATTGCCCTCGACATGACTAAGGTAGATATCCCTTGGGACCTCGTGCGAGGCATGGCAGAACCCATGCTCAACCTATCAAGCAAAGAGTCTCATTTTGACTCACATCAAGCATTGTCATATCGACATCCGGGGTCATTCAAATAGAGAGCTTTTGGCTTGGCCATACTGGGCACAACTCAACCTTGATCCTAATGTCACCAAGTTAGAGACCTCTCAAAGTTCTCACATTCACACCATTGAAAACCATGTTTGATGCCATTCCAACTTGAGATGAGTCTCTCTCCTCACATCCAACACTACCAATCTTACGACTGACATGGTCGAGACAAAGCTCTCTATTTGGAACTAGGCCCAACATCGTATCAGAAATATGTAAATCTAGACTTCAAAATCACCTCAATCAACTTGAAAAACAGGAAATCCAAACATACAAGGCATCCAATATTGCATATATATCATATATGGCTTGAAGTCGAGCTAAAACAACACATGCACTGCAATTTGTATCATTCACCAAAATCAACCCCATGAGCTCACAACACCAAGAACTCAACACACACTAAATCCCACCTTAGATTTGCCACATAACCAAGAACTTTAGGTAATCTAGGCACATATAACTCAACCATTCAATAAGAATCGAGTCTAGCTTCCTTTATCTTTACTCTGAGCAACCAGAACCGAAAGAGAAGGAAAGGAAGAAATCCAAGCTTCCACAAGCTCTGTAACCTTCCCAACTTAGATTCTCAACCTTCAAATACTTCGAATCAACTATCCAACAACAATCGCCACACATTGAAGGGATCTAAGAAGAAGAAAAGAAGAAAAAGGGTAAGAGTTTCTCTCTCTAGAAATTCTGTTTCTAAGGTTTAAAAATTATGAGTTTATAAAGCTCAACCCAAAATAAAACCTTATATATCTTTCCTATTAGGGTTAATTGAACCTCTAACCAGAGTCTTCACCACTTACCTAAGCATAATGTTACAATTTATATATTGATATAGATATAGATAGATGAATACCTATATTGTATGTTGATAGATGAGTTGACGATGTTAAGATGCAAGTTGTATGTTGTATGACTATTAAGTTGTGAAGCTATGGACATGTGGTTGAGATACATGTCTTAAGTTTAAGATACATAGATGCTAGAGGTGAGTTATGCTGTTTTAATGTTGGTTTTCCCTTTAGGGCCTATGTGAATTAATATGAAAGTAGTCGGACCATATCCTAGTTGAATGACTAATCGGGTAAAGTACGAAGTTGGAGACTTGATCCTTAACTGAGTATTAGAGGGTTGTGATATTTAGAGAGTGGTTGGTGGGTTAATCCCATAGGGGGACTTAATGTTGCAAGCTAATGTTATGGTAGACCCATACCCAAATTGTTTTACCTTGACATAGTACCATACTTCCTAGTTTAAGTGGCAAAACTTTAGAAATTAAACTAATTTAATTATCTATATCTAGCTCTCTTTGAGGTCTAACGTTATTCTATATTTGACCTGATTGAGATGGGTCTAACATTGTAGTTCGATAGGGTCAAGTCACTTAAATTGTTCATCTTTCTTGTAGGAGAAATTGATATGCATGACAACACATTAGTTGTTAATATATGTATGATGAGATGTTGATTATAATAAAGTTGATAAGCAT